CGCAGGAGGATAATGGGTTCCTGGTAGCTTCACGTTTGATTCTACTCAAATCTTTGGCAGTTAATTTGCGTCTTTTTTTTCTCAACACATTTCTTGCAACCCCATTGACCATTTGCAACAAAACGTTTGATGGTTCTGTGGTCACGCCCCAATACCGTAGCAATTTCAAGACTGCTGCATCCCTCAGAAAGACTTTTTACAATTTTTGACTTTTCAGAGTCAGTTAAATCTCTTTTTTGGCCCATTTTGCCTGAGGAAAAGAAGCTGCCTAATAATTATGCACACCTTGATATGGGGTGTTGATCTCCTTAGGCCACACCCTCAAGACTGCTGCATCCCTCAGAAAGACTTTTTACAATTTTTGACTTTTCAGAGTCAGTTAAATCTCTTTTTTGGCCCATTTTGCCTGAGGAAAAGAAGCTGCCTAATAATTATGCACACCTTGATATGGGGTGTTGATCTCCTTAGGCCACACCCTCCCTCATTACACAAATACACATCACCTGATATGCTTATATCCAATAAGCATTTGGGTTTCTACAGCTTGGAGGTGGAAAATATACATAAAAATGATATGGTCAAAATACTCACTTGCCTAATAATTGTGCACACAGTGTATAGAGGGGGTAGGTAAGTATAACAACCAGAAGATCGTTTAGTTTTAACCATGGCTAATCTATGTATGGCTTGTATTTGGTCTTTGAATAGCAGCATAGAAACTGCCAGGCCAGCCATAGATCAAGAAGTTGTGTTCACATGACATGCTGAGCCACAGCCAACCAACCAGAGGCCCTGTGTATCATGCAAACCTAACCTCTGCAAGTAGTTTGTGTCCCTCACCAGAATGAGACTAAGCAACAAAAAATAAGCAAAGGTTGTGGAGCAGAAGTGAGAGTTATCCCAGCAGCTAACATGCACGCACGCACATACACACACACAAAGCCGCCGGAGGAAAGAGGCTGTTCGCTTCTATCAAAAGTTGCTTCATCTGCTGACCTCTCACGCTGGGCTCTGCTTTCACCCCGATCAGGAGGGAGGAAAGCTCTACTGTACCACAAAACGAAAACAAGAGACCAAGTTAGCAGCAGTAAACCACCATCACTAAAAGCAGGATGCAGACTTCTTGTAAGTGGGTTTCGACGTGGGAGCGACTTAATACCTGCGTGGTTTTCTTCCAGCTCCAGGCAGAGGAAGAGGTGGGTGCTGCCACCAATCGGCCACAGCAGGCGGGGCGCCCATCAGCTGGACGGAGCAACCTCTTAAGAGCAACAGCTGCTTTAATTCTTGAGACCCGGGGTCTCCTTCAAGCGCTGCCGCTACGACTGCGGACCAATCGCAGCCGAGCAATTGCCCGCGTTCCCGCCTCCTCGTGTCAGCCGCAGTTTTCTATTCGCAGCCCCTGTGTGGACAACCGAGAGTCCCGCCCTGTCTTCCGAAGCTACGCGCGTGCACGGCCGAGACTCCCACGCAAGCGCAGTAGTGGCACACTTTGCCATTCTCCCCTAACGACCCTAAACTCTATGGTAGCGCCGTGCTTAGAATGAGGAGGGGGTGGATGTGACGCTAAGGGGAGTTGGCGGGGTATCGTGTTTCCGGTTGTGGCTGGTGCGGGATTGTTGCCATGGCGTACTCTGCGTTCCGGAAAGTGGCTTTGGCCTCTTGCATAGTGTTATGCGTGTCGCTGCTCCTGCCGAAGGTCTTCCGTTCGCGGGGCTGGAGGCAGCCAGAGCCCTCCACTGCCCTCCCGTCCGCTCCGTCTGCCATACTGGAGGGTAAGAGGCCGCTACTAGGGCCCCCGAGCGGCTCCCTTTTAAGCTTTTCCTGGGCCCGGCTGAATGTATATAGGAGTTGCGGAAGCTGCGGAGGCTACGCGGTGCTCGGTTGGTCGCTGTCCATTCCGCCTTATGGTCCAGAGGTCAGGCATCTAGGAGGGCTAAAGACAACAGTGGATCTCGCTTTATATTGAATAATGATTAATAATAATCATGAAAATGTCTAATATTAAACCGCTTCTTTGATAAATCCTGAAAAAGTGTGATGTAAGAAAGAATAGCAGATGTGGTTATATCTGTAGGCACAAGCATACATATCCCTATAAGCCCTTTTGCAAAGTCATCTGCATGTCCCTCATTATACCTACTGGTATTCTCTATCACAGCTCTTTTCCAAATCTCCTTCAGATTTATTTTAATTCCCAGATCTGGGAGCTAGATTGGCTGGGAAATTTGGAAGTTGCAGCCTCAACATATCATGTTTAGGTTGGGATAGACGATTATTGTTGCCCTTCCTAACTTTGCATTGGTGTTTTGGAATATGTGTGGACTTGGGGGCAACAAGCTCAAATGCTACAGTAGGTAGTACATTTGAAAGTTATTGCTGTTACTTTATGGATTCTTGTCAAAATGGACTAAGGAATGAATGAACAAACCATGATTCTCATGTACAGGTAATGTTTTAGTTTTACTCATTTTCACAGAACTATTAAAATCTGTTTGTCAGTTTTTTACCAAAGGTGTCTCTTAGTTTTTACACCAGAATAAAAATGTGATGGAATCGTGAGGGAGGAGTGTGCTGAAAACTTCACCTACTCACTGGCTGTGCCATCATGGTTTGAAATAGTGTCACTCTAATTTCACTCGATCTGTTATTATTGCATCATTTATAGTATTTGGTGCAGTTGTGTTTTGTGATCTTGTTTATTTGTTAAGATGTAATCAAAGCAAAATAAAATTGCCAATTTGATCTGTGAATTGCTGTAGGTCTTTGGATTGTAGAGCTAAAGTATTACTGCCTAGAACTTTTTTCTATGTGCCTGTTTTACCATAAAGACCTTCTGTAAGCTACAGTATAGGAAGTGTGAAGAAAAGACATTAGTGCTACTATACTAATTCCATTTACTTTATGTCAGTGTGTGTTTGTAATCCTAAAATGGGATTAAAATAGCAATAAATTCAATATTTATTTCTAAAAAAATTGTATTTTATTTTGTTTATTTCATATATACATAAGCACTTGTTTTATCATCCAGTGATAAGTTTCCTAGTTTTTTTGTAACCATCACACAGTTATTTTCATACATTTTAATGTTCTCATGTCCATTATTGTTTGCTGATTATACAATACTTTGGATGTTTTATATAAAATATAAATAAATATAAATATTGTTTAAATGATCCATAATGTGTTTTCCTACTTATTGTTTTCCCCCAACCCTTTCCTGGACTACCAACCTTTCTACTGGACATACATCACTCCCATTATTCTAAAGTGTGTTTTCTGTTACTGCACAAATCAAGTAAAATGTACATGCACAGGGAAAATCATCATGGTTAGTATTTTAATATAGCTTATCTGCACCCTTTGAATGTTAGATGTCATCATTATAGTCATTACTTCCTCATGTCATCTTTTAGAATTACACTTTTACTACCAAAATGGAAGCAATAAATAACAGGTGTTTTCACAGCAATAGAAATTCAAGAAAGCTTCTCTTTTAACTGCATTTGCATAACCCATTCTTTAAATAAGTTTACCTTTTTTATTTTATATTGTTTTACTTTAATTTGGGAGCCTTAACAATGAATATAGCAGATTATATGATATGTTCCTTGTTCCATGTTTGAATGGCACCAATTGTGATGCAAGACTGAAATGCTTGAATGTTTTGTTAAAAGCTTCCAAAACCGAAGAACTTAATCAAAGATCTGAATATTTGCATAGGCAGATGGATATAGAATCTGTATGTATTCTCCTTGCATTGATTTTAGTTAATACAGTATCAATCATTTTAACTACTGTTAATAATAATTATGACTACAAAATAAAAAGGTTAAAAAGGATAGCCACTATCAGAACATTTGAGGAAAACTCAACTCAGGCATGGAATTGCTGAATATGCAGTCGTTTCCCTTTCTTTTGATTTTACCCTGTTCCACCTGTCTGGGGCACTTTTATATCTGCCTTGCACACATCTTTCACCTGCTTTGTTTCAATTTTTTAAGCAGCTAGTACTTAAATTTGTAGCCCACTGAGGAAAGCAAAGGCTTTCAAGTATTCTTTTCAGCATTAGCTCTCAGTTGTAAGTTTAGGGCTTTACTCTTCCAGTAATATGTAAACCTAAGTGGATAAAAGTTTTCAAGGTTATTTATACCTTAAATAACACAGTATTCAGTAGAATTATAGTTGTGTAAATGGGGGAAACCATTGTTACGGCTGAAATTTCCCATCAAATGTACTGCATTAAAGATAATGTGCAACAAGATAATTACAGATTAATAAGTAATAATTTTCACCAGAACTCTAACAGACAGTATGTATTGATCTTTCATTGGTTGTGTGCAGTATTTACAGGATGCCTTTTTAAAGAACATTTTATTACACATTTGGAAATATCTTTAAACAGCATAACATGGAAACCTGACAAATCTGACTTGTCTTGTCCCCTAATAGATCTTATTTCTTTAATGGAAATCATACTGAACAAACTTTAGGGTTGATTTGGGGGGAATTTATGGACAAAGATGACCTCAACTAAGTGCCAAATTAAGGATTCCCGCACATCTTCTATCAACAAAGGTTTATGAGTGTATTTAGAGTGCACACTAATATCAACATAAACTGGAAGGCGTAGCCAGTTTGGTGTAGTGGTTAAGACACCAGGCTAGAAACTGGGAGACCGTGAGTTCCAGTCTCACCTTCAGCACAAAGCCAGCTGGGTGACCTTGGGCCAGCCACACTGTCTCAGCCTTAGGGAGAGGCAATGGCAAGCTGCTTCTGAATTCTTACCAAGGAAACTACTGACTTGAAGGCAAAACAAAAAATGCTGAAACTGTCCAAACATGCAAGGCTGGAAAATCTTGATGGCCATGGAGGAGTTATTCTCAGGTTTGTCCAGTGTTACTAGTACTTGATAAAAGTTTCATAACCTGGGGAACATGAAGATTTCCTAGAATATAGTTTTCAATAGATGCCCTTGACAAGTTCTGGATAAGTTTATTTTTATATTTTTAAAAATGTTTATAAACTGCAAAATCAACTGATGTGGTTGGTTTGGTAATGGTTGATTAAAAAACTTTCATCTTCACAGATAAGGGGAAGAAGCAAAGATACTAATTACTAGGCCTGGGGGCACTAAACTAACCATTTAGTGTATCCTGTGCTCACTCCCTATCTAACTGAGCTTTTCATTTTCTTTCAAGTTTTTAAAAAGCTGCCATGCTGCAAAAGAAATTGCTTGTTTCCACCATCTCTATTTCCACAATAATTTCAGTTCAGCTCCACTCCATATCTATTGTAAGAAAATAATGATAGTGCAATTCTGTTTTGTTTGGAAGTATGCTTCTATGTCCAGAGATCGATGGATAATTGATTGATTGATTGATTGATTGATTGATTGATTGACAGCAGACTGACTCAGAGTTGATAGGGATATCTCTGGATGATGTGATGCAAGCATTGCAGTCCAATAAATAGGTTTCTAATTGGCCATACCCATCACAGTGGCTATTTTGTGAATGGGCAAGCCTTTGTAATAGCATCCACAATACCCTGTCAACATTCCAAATGATTGGGGAAATCTTACGCTAGACTATTTATTGCTTCTTGTATGTCTTCTAAATTTTTCTTTGACATCTAGTGTAATACCTTGCATTGCTGATCAATACATTTAGAGTGTTCTATTCAATAACACTGAAAGGTTCTCAAAATTTTATTTATTGTCTTTCAAGGGAACACTTGTTAAAATATGGCTCAAGATTATTGGTTGATTGCATGATATTCTTTATCCTTTTAATCAAATATTTCAGAAAAATCCAGTTTTCTAGTATGAGATGGATGACTTTGACCAATGACTGACAACTTAAAGTATAAATGAAAATCTCTTAAAATAATGCACTAAGACTTTTGGGGAGGTGGAGAAAAATACTGCTTTTGTGCCTGGCTTCCAGCTGTAATAGAGAGTTGACCAATAACAGAAATGGATTGTGCTGAATAATTAAAATTACACAACGTTATGCAAAAATGCATTTTGGTTGCTCAATTATATTTTTATTTAGAATCTATCACTTTAAAGATCAATATAGTTGAAACTTTATCTCCAAGAATATTCAGTATTTTCAGAATTACATGTAGTAAGAAAAGTATTTAATTTATGGACAATGAAAAATCACATTCAGTAACTAGAAACCAGGATTTTCATGTATGTATGTACGTATGTATGTATATGTATATATACATTATATACACATATTCAATTAATAAAATTAATAATTTTTATTAAGAATTTGTATCGTAATAGTAAAATCTAATACGAACTAAACTTAAAGTAAGAAAAGAGAATAGAAAGGAGTAAAAAGTGCAAGAAAAAAAAAGGTAAAAAAGAAAAGTAAGAATACAATAAAGAGAAAAGAAATATATAAAGAAGTGATTTCCAACCTTCGTTTCAACAAGTATAAATAGATTTAGTGACTCTCCCCTCTAAGGCTACAAACGTTTACCCCTTCATCCCATATCTCATCCCTTATCTATAAACAAATCCATCAAACATCTTTTCAATCCTGGTGTCAGCAGAAATTCCATAAAGGGTTACCAGAAATAACAACATATCTTGTTATAACCTTGATCAAATAAACCAACTTTATATTCCTTCCTTAACAGTCTTAATCTCTAGTTCATTCAAATATTGTCATAGGATTTGTTTTCTCTTCATTTGTCTCTGTCCCATTGCACAGAGTTCTTCAAGGCTTTAACAAGCCTCTTTTGTAAATCCAGTAGG